AAATCCCGCAGGAGATCCCGCAAACTCCCGCAGGAGATCCCGCAAACTCCCGCGGAAGATCCCGCAAACTCCCGCGTGATATCCCGCAAACTCCCGCGGGATCTCCCGCGGGACTTGATGCTTATCCCGAGATCTGTACTGTATAATGTCCTTGCTTCCAGGGAAAAACTTTAACAAGGAGCCCTTTCCATCTGGGATAGCCTTCAGTCTGGCCACCTGGCTATAACAACCACTTTTCATGGTCCCTAGATGTTATTAGCACCAGGCAACCTGCCTAAGAAGACCACCTGTACAAGAGGACCACTTAAGATGTACCTCAGTCCCCAGGGTGGTCTTAATAGGCAGGTTATAAGACCATTTTACATGTACCTCAGTCCCCTGGGTGGCCTTACTATACAGGTTCAACTGTACATATTTATGATTGTGGACGTACCTGTTGTTGTGTCGGCCGTTGCCGGAACAATAACCCCACTCGGAGAGATGTTCATCGTTGTTGTTTACTTCTGGGTCGTTGTTGTTTATTTCCGTTCCTCCGGGAATAATTCTGGCTTCCAGTGACTGGGCATCAGTTCAGACCTGCACAAAACGGGAAGGAAAAATTTTAAATTAGTCCATCAATTAATCAAATCATTGAAACAATTATTCACACCAAATCAAATGAAATTTCCGACAAATAAATTTGGATTCCGATCAAGTTTTTTTTTAACATGTTGGATCAAGAGCTGCAGTACAGCCCAGAACCACTAGAGGGAGTCATGGCAAGGGTCATGTTCAACGTGGAAGACCTGACATGGCTAGTCTGCATTTCAGTAAATTGGACAAGACCTTGCACATACACACACACAGACACACACGCACGCATGCACCCACAGACACGCACAGACACACACACACACACAGACACACACACACACACAGACACACACGCACGCATGCACCCACACACACGCACAGACACACACACACACACAGACACACACACACGCACGCAAGCTCTCACACGCGCGCACACACACACACACGCGCGCACAGACATACACACACACACACATTAATGAACTCCGATATGGCATATGAGATTGATAGAAAGGCTATGATCTTCCCCACCAACCTCTGCTTAGAGAGTAAGACTAACTAAGAATAGTAAGAAATACTAAGATATGGGAGCATTGAGAGGGCTGGGTACCTTTTTAGTAAGTTGGACCTGATTACCAGACCTTCCACACACACACACACATGTACAGTAATGAACTAATGACTAATGGGCACTGCTGCATGTAATGGGGTCAGTGCAGCACCTGGGTTCTACACGGAGAATGGCACGAATACGCTATTGTGGGTCAGGTGGCGTAACAGCAAATTATTCAGCTTAGAACCAAGAGGTCATGTCTGGTTCCAAATCTGTGATTCGACAAATAAAACTGGTTGGACCTTGACTTGGACTTCAACCCTTTGAAGTAACCCGATTAGTCAGGACTGGTGATATATAGATAATACAGCATAAAAAGCTGGGATTCGAACCCTCAACCTTCCGGTCCTGAAGCATGCATGGTTACTAGCCGCTGAACCACACATGCCAAATATGGTCAGACAAATAACTGGTGAGGTCGTAAGGTCAGAGAAAGGTCGCATCGCTCATTTGTCTTAGACAGCTTCTAAGAACACTTAAACCCACTTCTAAGGAAAAAGAAGACTATTAAAGAACCCCAGTGATGTGACCTTGAACGTGTCACCTTTCCCTCACAGAGAGGTCATGACAAGGTCAGCTGACAGAGGTCGTGATAAGGTCGCTCCAGCTATAAACCTGAAAGTGAGATGATAACAGACCAGGCTGTACATGTGACGGGCTGGGCTGGGCTCGCTGAAGGGGGGCCAACAGAAGGGGCCAGATTCAGGGGGCAAACCAGTGATCGTGAAGGGGTCCAACTAAAGGGGCCAGGTTCAGGGGGCCAGGATAGGGGCCAAACTAGTAAAGGGGTCCAACTTAAGGGGCAAGCTTAGGGGGCCGACTAAAAGGGGCCAGACTGGGACTCCTTTTTTTGATTCTGTTATACCCCAATTAAAAATGGGCCTCAAACCTGCAATGAGCGGTAAAGACCTTACAGAAGATTGTATGGAACAGGAGGGAGGCCCACACTAGACAGGCTCACAAGCTGGTAGTACTGAGAAAAGGAGGTACACAACACATCAACATGGATGTGTCCTTTCTAACCACAATGGTTATACCATATAAATTTCAGAATTTGGGACGTAATACATGGATAAAAATCTAATATTGTTTATCTCAATGGTTCCTGATTTCACCCTTAGACCAAATTTACTGTTAACCCACAAACATCAAAAATCCATGATTCACACCTTATATATCTGAGGTATCCTCCCTTCCAGTGCTGGTAATACAGAATTACTAATATACATGTACACAGAAGTCAGAACGTTCTAATGCTCTACTTGATATGTACATGTAATTAACTCCAAGGAATGGGTCAAGACATCATTAAAATCCCATCCATCTTAAAGTTAAAAAACCAAACCCACAACAGACCATGTCGTCAGGAAGCGTAGTGGATTGCTCATTCCTTGACAAAGACTGGAGTTGTACAGTCGAAAATTTGGGTGAGTCCAATTTGTTGTGTTAGGAATTACAGTTTAAACTTGCTTCATAATGATTTCTACCAACACAGATGAACTTTTAAGATAACAACAGACTGTCAAGGAGCAGTTTTTTAAAGTAAACTGTTGGGGTTATATAAACATCGAGACCATTCTTCACTTGAAACAGTCAACGGTACTAGATAAGCCGACCTCTGACCTCTGTCCTCACACGACCCCGTGGTTACCATGGTGATGACATGTGATTGACGCCCCCTCAGCTGTCGTGAGGGAAGCTGGGAGATCAGGTTTCTAAACCAGTTGGGAGTGAGCTGGGCTATATATAAATGATATTGTAAACGACCTAAAACCTCCCATAGATTGCAAAATCTGTGCTGCAAAATGAAGAAAACATTGCCATCGGGCATCGTCAAGTGTTATATGTGGCCAAAGTTTTGCCCAAACAACACTGCAATTTGTATAAGCCAAGCAACATGCAATTTTGTATATGCCATGGGTTTAGGTCCTGACTTATGAGTCCGGAGCTGAACCTAAACCTCTGGACTTGAATCCGTTTTTCTTACATTTAGTTTTCTTTTTTTACTTTTTATTTAAAGAGAGAAATCGAGTGTAAAACTGACCTGACAGAATGAGGACAGTTTGAGCATCCATTCTGCCTTGCTTGATTGTCATAATTAGACATAATCAACTAACGAAGAAATCGGGGCACTGGACTAATTAATGTCTGTGCATTTCTTACAGGAGTAATAAGTGGATCTACATGTAAGGAGGGCAAGACATGCTGAAAACAGAATACAATCATATTATTATCTTAATGATACTACAACAAAATTAAAAATTCCATGGTCTGCTCTGTTATTTTTTACTCAAACACATTCATACTATATGGTGACAGGAATCCCTACTGCTATGAAATTGCAACATGATGTAATCCAACACTAGTTACCATGGTGACAGACAGTCTAGCTCAGGTCATTGACCATATTTGTTTGGAGAAGAAGAGGAAGAAACTGAGCAAAAAATTTTGTTTTCCTTTGGTAAACATTTATATTAATCAAAGAAAATGAATGAAAATTTAGGAAACAACAACATTGATGAATATACTAAGACCAAGTATCATATTACTGACACAATGTAACCTGAGACTCCACATAAAAGTGAGACCAGCTGTGGCATACTTAAGAATCACTTTCACTGATTACAGAAGTACTCTCACTAAAGAACAACATGGTAACCTGAGCCATTATCACAGCTGACAACTCTCTCATCATCAGGTAAGTGAGAGGTGACCTATGTGGTCCTGATGGATCAGTGTGACCACAAAAAGCTCAGAACTGAAGCTTTAATGTCAGACAGATTATCTCTGATCTGCACATCTAAAACTTAACCACTGTTTGATCCCAGAGATTCAAGCTAAAGTACAAAATTGCTGCCGAATTATTCAAAGAACTCTGGGGTCAGTTTGAAAGGTAAAGGCTAAAGCAATTGATCAGCCTTTTCTGGGGCTTTTGCTTATTTTAGTTTTCATCTTCTTATATAACAGCTACAGACGTCTATATAATAAAAACAACAACATGAATGTTCAGTTCGGTTCATCTAGATACAAAATTGCTGCAGAGTCAGTCAAAGAATTCTGGGGTCAGTTTGAAAGGCTTGAAAAGCCTGATACGAAAATAAAGGAGCAGCTTTTTTGGGTCTTCAGTCCTGTTCTTACAAAATTATGCTTACGTATATTACCTTTTACATCCTGCAGGTACATAAAGGAAATTAGCAGTACTATTGTTATGTTCAGTTCTGTTCTTCAGTGTTCTTGGTTATACAATTCTTTTAAGATTAGATCTGAGAGCCTAAAAGCAGCACAGCCACTTCAAGAAACATTCCTTACAGGAAAACAGACTCCTTGGAGACCTGCAGGTGTGACTGAAGGAAAAACAGACCTTCTACATACGGAATTCAATAAAAAAAACTTGCAGGCCCCAGCCTTTTTTGGTGGATCCCTGCAAGGGAATTTTTTGAGCTGATCGACCTTTTCTAGCTCCATGATCTGACACCAGAGTGATAAAACGTTGTACAATCGGTTTTCCAACATTGACATTGAAAATAAAAGTGTCCAAGTTTTATGAATATGAATATACCTAAGGAGCTCTTTGATCTAAGTTGGATCACTTTGAAGATCAAGAAAAGTCAGGAAAAAAAAAAGATAATCCCTACCTACCGACCATAATTTTTTCAAGACTGAAACAATTATTTTTTCCTAGGTCTTCATACTGGCAGACTGTATGGTGTAAGTACTATAACCGACAGTGGCATGTGCCTGCACAGCTAATATATTACCTGTACATCTACAGACTACAGACTGTTACTGCAACGTGCCAATAAACATGCAAATCCAGACGACCTTGGTCTGGTGATGGTGACCTCTGTCGTGTGACCTTCAGCTGACCCCTCAGGCTGGCAGGTGGAAGATTTGATTCTTCAGACAATAATAACATTTTACAATCACTGAGGCCAGGACAATTTCATTTGTTGGTTTACAGATTTTAATATCAAAAAATTATTCTGACCAGAAGATCAACCTTGGTTCACACAGTTTTAGGGAGTGGATATAATAGACGTTTTCAAGTTTTCTACAGCTTCAAATTTTATGGCAAAAATTGACATCACAGGTAAGAAATACAAAAACATGCAAAGTATAAAATCAAAAAGGCAAAAAGTCTGGTGAGGTTTTACCGGGGTACTACTGTTATGGTATCAACATTGATCTAGCCAAAGGCAAAGTCCATGTTTTTGCATCCTCTGCTAGTCAACCAATAAGTAATATTTTTAAGTCTAAGGTCAACAAACATCTGTCCTCACTGTCTGTACAGTAACCAAAAACATTTTAAGTGGCTCTCATGAGCCTTGTTTTGTGGTGAACCATGAAGTGAATAAAAAAAAATTAGCTTTGATACACAAACACTCTG